TGTGGGCACTTAAGAGCCAGGGGTGGCTGGGGGGGAGCCTGAGCTGGGCAGGATGGCTACAGGGGAGCAGGTGAGTGTTCTCCCTGTGGGCTGGGCCTAGCAGCAGAGCCTAGGCAGCCCTGCCGTCCCCTCGGGGCTCCTGGCTGTGGTGTCCGTGTTGTGGTGTGGGGGTGGCTGGGGGGGGCTGCAGGCTCCCTGCTGGGGTGGCCACGGGGCTCCTCGGGGCTGTCCCTCCTTCCCCAGCGGAGGCAAGAGGATCGGCGGCGGCGGAGGGCTCAGCAGCAAGAGTTGCTCCTGGCAGAGAGCCTGGGCAAGCACCCCCTGCAGAACAGGTATGGGGGGCCTGGCCATGGGCAGCCTCTCCTAGCACTGGGAGGGGGGTGCCAGGGCTGGAGGGGGGCTCTAGCATGGCTGACTCCCCCATCTCCCCTCCCTCCCCAGGTGGGCACTGTGGTTCTTCAAGAATGACAAGAGCAAGATGTGGCAGGCAAACCTGCGCCTTGTCACCAAGTTCAGCACTGTGGAGGACTTCTGGGCGTGAGTGTCCCATGGGTGGGCAATGTGCCCCCTCTGGAGAGGCCCCGGTGAGGGGATCTGGGCCAGAGAAGGGTGCTGGGGGTCCCTGAGGCACCACTTCTCACCTGCTTCTGTGTCTTGTCTCCGCCCGGCACAGGCTGTACAGCCACATCCAGCTCGCCAGCAAGCTCACATCTGGCTGTGACTACTCCCTCTTCAAGGTGCGACACCCCCTCAGCTGCAGTCCCTCCTCAGAGCCTCCTGCAGCACCCAGCATTATGGGGGCACACTGGGTGCCAGTGGGGCTGGCAGGGTGCCCTGGTCATAGGGTGGGAGGGGAAGCCTGGCTGGCTGCTCACAGCTCCGCGAGCTGGCTCTGGCTGGGTGCTTGGTGCCCCTGACCATCCCTTTGCCTGTCCCTAGGACGGCATCGAGCCCATGTGGGAGGACAGCCAGAACAAGCGTGGCGGGCGCTGGCTCATCACCCTGGCCAAGCAGCAGCGGCACACTGAGCTGGACCGTTTCTGGCTGGAGACGGTGAGTGCGGCCCCGCTCGGGCTGGCCTGCAGTGTTCTGGCAGCGGTGTTTCCCCCTGCCGCAGCGCTGAGCCCCAGTGGGGACTGTCCCGGTCTCCCCTTCTCCCGGCAGCTGCTGTGCCTCATTGGGGAGATGTTTGATGAGTACAGCAATGAGGTGTGCGGGGCTGTCATCAACATCCGCGCCAAGGGGGACAAGATCGCCATCTGGACCCGGGAAGCGGAGAACCGGGAAGGGGTCACCCACATTGGGTAATTCAGCTTTGTGAGGGGGCTGTGTGGGGCCATGTTTGGGGGTAATGGGGTCCCTGGGCAGGGAGCCAGTGGGAGAAGTGATGCTGCCCCATTCACGTAGCCCCTTCCCTCTTCCAGGCGTGTCTACAAGGAGCACCTGGGCCTGTCACAGAAGGTGGCCATTGGGTACCAGGCTCACGCGGACACGGCCACCAAGAGTGGTTCCCTCACCAAGACCAAATTTGTGGTGTGACTGCGGGGGGAGCGGCGCGCTGCCCACGGGGTCCCTCTGTCCTGTCCCACAATGAATGGCTGCAGCTGAGCATGATCTGTATGTCCAGGGCTAGGCCAGGGCTCTGGCACCCTGGGGTGGGCCTTACTTGGGAGGGTCTCCTGGGAGGGGAATGATGCGTTGCCATATCCTGCACCAGCCTGCTGGGTGAGCGGGGCCAGGAGCACAGAGTTGGCATTGCCATCACTGTGGGCTTGGGGCACTGTGTGTATCCCCCTGCCTCCCCCAGTGCCTGGGACCAGTGCCCTCTCTCTGGGGCTGTGGGGGTGTCCTGCTCTGGGGGGACCCTGGATAGTCCCCAGGAGGATGCTGGGCTCTGTCCTCCCCTGGCCAAGGCACAGGCACAGCTCACTGCCCTGCGAGCCTAGGTGTGGGAGAGGGTACCAGAGCCCAGCTCCTCTGGGTTGTCTCAGCCTGAGGAGCTGGTCCCCATCTCTCCCAAGCCCCTGCACATCAGCGGGACACAGGTCTGCCTTCTCGGGAAGACCAGCTCCCAGCTGAGGGTTGCCCAGCGTCTCTGCAGGGTCAGTGCTGGGGCTGCAGCACAGCATCGTCCCCACGCTGCCCACCTCAGGCTGTGTTTGCTCACATCCCCTCCCACAGGCACCTGCAGCACAGGTGG